CAGGGGGTCCCGGGAGGACCGGGGGGTCCTGGGGTTCGGGGGACACCAAGAGGGATCGGGGGGGCACGGGGGCCTCGGTAGGGTCCGGGGGAGACCGGGGGGTCCGGGGGTCCCGAGAAGGTCCGAGACGCCGGGAGCTGTGCTGAGCCATCTCCTCTTTCCGTCTCTAACGGCTTTGATTGTGGGATCCCATTTTCCCCGTCCCTCTCCTTCTGTCAAAAAAAAATAGCTGTCTTTTCTTAAATAATAAAAATAATCGAATTACTAAGGGACCTTTTGATGGTGCTGTGCTAAAGAGACTCTTACCTACTTTGATTTTGCTGCTCGGTTTCTTTATTCATGTGTTTTGCTTAAAGTCGCTGCTGCTGTGAAGGCTTTGACAGCGGGGGGTGGCGGGGGCTCCCCGTGGCTGCCTGCCCCGCTCCGTCCCAGCCCCTCCTGGCCCCAGACACGGGTGGGGGCTCTGGGGGTCCTGCCCGGCCCCTCCGAGGGGCGGCAGGAAGGGGCTGGGGATGGATCACACCCCTGGGCACCAGGAGCCGGGCTCGGCTCTGCGAGGGGACAGGGGACACCGCCGGCGCTTGCTGGCAGCAGGAGAGGAGAACGGTGTTTGGACACGGCGGCTGCGATCCTCCCGGAACAGTGGGGCTGTCTGTCTGCCACCGGCATCTTTCATCCCCCTTTTCATCTGCCTGTTTCAGGATTGTCTCAATAATTTATTAATTGCAGGCTGGCAGGCAGGAGCAGCTGCGAGGCCCTTTCCTGTGTTCAGGGAGAGCTGGGAGCCCCCCCGCTGCCCCGTGCCCCGCCATGCTGCTGGGCTTTATCTGCTCTAAACGCTTCAGCCGGTGACTCTCAGACTGTGGCTCTTCCAGGAGCAGTTAATTGTGAGCTGCAAAACAAGAGTTGTTTTGACAAATTTGATGGCAGGATGTGGCTTTTGGAAAGAGTGTGAGTTATTGTACTTAGTGTACTGCAGCATCATAGGATCACAGGATGGTTTGGGTGGGAGGGACCTTAAAGCCCCCCCAGTGCCACCCCCTGCCCTGGGCAGGGACACCTCCCACCAGACCTGGTTGCTCCAAGCCCCCTCCAACCTGCCCTTGAACCCCTCCAGGGATGGGGCAGCCACGGCTTCTCTGGGCAACCTGGGCCAGGCTCTCACCACCCTCACACCAAACAAGTTCTGATGTCACTTGCCTGGGGACAAACCCCTCCAGGGGAAACCCAAAGCTAAGACTGCATTGGTCCTGGATCTGCTGATGTGATGGGGCACATGGAATGTCCTTTAGGCAAGCTGGGTACCTGGAGAACTTTCCAGAACAGTCCCCAGCAGCCTGGATTCCCCGCTTCTCTCACCCATCCGACCCCAGACTCAGAAGCCACGGGCTCAATCCTGCCAGGAAAGGGTGCAGAGCTGCTGCGGCTGCTGGAGAAAGAGTGTTCTCGGAGGCGATTTTTAAACTGTAAACCTTTTCAAATGTTTAGATCTCGGTAATTTTTAAAGCACTATTTCCTACATGGCGGGAGTCTCCGCCAGGCATACGGGGGGAGATGCCTGAAATGTCACGGTTTGGATACTCCCTCCCAAATCTGTCCAAGCTCCCAGCGAGTGGTCTTTTCCTCCCTCGTCGCGACATGACATGAGCCCATTTCCAGTGTTTTGGTCTCCTTTGGCAGCGAGTGTCACAGCCCTGGAGCGCTGGGGGCTCTGGGGAGGGTGGGCATCCCAAATGCCACCGGTGCTGCCCTGCTCCATGGAGCTGCCGTTGGGCTGTGCAGGCTGGGGGACGCTGGCATCCTGTCATTCTTTTATAATTCTTTTCAGATTTCAGGTTGAAGTGTGATGCTGAATTAAAAATTTTGCCCTGGGCTGTCTGCAGGGCCTCCGGGCTGCTGCAGCGCCAGCATCTGCCGGGGAGACCCCCGGGTCCCGTGTCGGAGGGCGGCAGCCCCGAGCTGGCACCGGGCGGCAGAGCCAGGGAGGCTGCGGGGCGAAGGCTCCCCCCTCGGCCTCCCCTCTCATGGGGGTGTGTGTGCGGGGTCCGGGCAGGTCCCCGGGGAGGGAAGGTCCCTGCAGGGACCAGCCGGGCTCCAGCCCCTCCGGCTGCCAAAGGTTTTGGCGAAGGGGAACGCTGGGCACTGGGTCTGGGTGTCCCTTGGGGACGGTTGTCCCTGCAGAGAGCAGCTCTTGTGACCGTGGGCAGGGCACCGCGGCCCCATGGGCAAACAACACCCTGGGTTTGTGCCCGGTGTCGCCTGTGCTGGTGGGGCCAGGAGGTGTGTGCACTCACGGGGACAGAGAGCCACGTCCCGGGGCCCGTCCTGCAGCCCCCCGGGGGCAATGGGGGCTCCCCGGGGCTCGGCCACACACCAGCGACACCACAGAGGGCGAGACAAACAGAAAGGTCTTGAGCTTGGGCCGTGCTTCGGATTGGGATGAGTCCTCTGTGCTGTCAGAGCGGTTCCAAAGAATGTTTATCAATATGGTGATAGACGCTTTATATATATAAATATAAATATATATATACACAAACACTGGTTTGGTAATATATCCATTTTTTTCTCCTGGTGTATTTTTTTTTATGCAGAATGATTGAAACAGTAATTGGCTTCACTCTGGCTAATTGCATTTCACAGCGAACCTATTTGTGGAACAACCATCTTGTATTTTCTGGCTGCTGGGCTATTAAACTAAGGGCAGCGAAAAGAGTCTATGGTTGTGGTTTTCTGCGAGGTTTAAGTAATTGTTGGGTTTGGAAAGTGTGCCTGAAGGAGGCCCGGGGAGCCAGCAGTGGGGACCCCAGCCCCTCGGCGTGCACGCTGCAGCGGGGGTACCCACCATGCTGCACTGCACTGCACAGCACCGCACCACACCGCATCACACCACATCACACCTCACCACATCACACCGCACCGCACAGCACCGCACCACACCGCATCACACCGCACCGTGTCACACTGCACAGCATCACACTGCACCGCATCACACCGCACAGCATCACACCGCATCACACTGCACCACGCTGCATCACACTGCAGCACATCGCATCGTTCACCATCCACCCCTCTCTTCCTGCAGCCCCGAGAGGGGATACCATTATTCATACCCCTCGGTAACCCCATGATGGGGCTTGGGAGGTGGGTTTTGGGGCTGAAACCACGGGGCTGGTCCCTCCCCAGCCGTGAGCCCCCTGCAAGGGCTGTGCTCCCCCTCCCCACGGCCAGGCACCGGCCGGGCGTCGGGGGAGCAGGGGGGTCTGGGCGCTGTTGAGTTTTAACAGGGCACATCCCCCTCCACCATGTCAGCCTCCGCAGGGCACATGCGGGCCCCGAGCACAGAGCTCCCTGACCCAGACTGTCTCCAGACTGCTTTCGCTGTATTCATATTAAAAAAATCTATTTTTTGTCATGCTTGGAAAGTCTGTAGATTCCCCCAACATGGGGAAAAGGGGGCTGCAGAGCTCAGCTGTAGCAGGGGCTGCAGAGATGGGTGTGAGATCCTCGGGGGTGCCCGGAGTCCCCCAGAGCAGAGGGTTTCACTCGGACGTGAGCTGGTCAGGGGGCGACAGGTGGAGTGGGGCCAAC